GAGATATTACTAGATAATGGATATCCGTTACAGTTTATATATAGTACTATTAATAAAAGAATAAAAAATCATATATATAGAAAAGTAACTCAGAAGAATAATATGAAGAATAAGGACTTAACTCAGAATAAATATTTTATTGTGCCGTACCATAGGGAAATTTCAGATAATTTTAGAAACATATGTAAAAAACATAATATGAACGTAGCATTTAAACCGATAAGTTCGCTAGGAAAATTTATTAGAACAGGGAAAGATAAACTAGAACTGGCATCAAGTAACAATGTTGTATATAAGATAAATTGTCGGGATTGTGAATGCACGTATGTTGGTCAAACGAAGAGGAAATTAAAGACACGTATTAAAGAACATCAGAACGACATTAAAAAAAGATCGGGGAATTTGTCGGTAGTATTGGAACACAAATTAGGAAAAGATCATGAATTTGAATGGGAAAACGTAGAAGTATTGGATAAAGAGCCATTCTATTATAAGAGATTTTTATCAGAGATGATATATATTAAGAAGCAGACTCATGGTTTAAATAAGCAGAGCGATACGGATAAATTTCCGAACATTTACCTACCAATGTTAGTGGATATATCCCTTCTTTAAAGATAGGAAAAGAAAGGGGTGATTCTTCTTTGTTTGTTGGAAATGTATCATATGTAAGCTAACAGTTGTGCTGTGAACATCGTGTGATTCTATACTTAGTTTCATACATTTGACAATTTTGTATAAAAGAACATTGGAGGATAGTTGTGGTCGAAATGTATGGGTATGTAGATATTTAATTTAAAGTCTGGATTAATTTCTAATTTATTAAATAAATATTTAAATTTGTATTCACATTTTATTCAGTTGACTTTTTGAAAAATCATTGGCTTTGATTTTTATAACGAAGCTAATTTATGGTTGACGCTTAATACACATATGTAATAATTTCTGACTAAAAGACTAATGTTTCTCTCATAAGAGACGGTTTTGAATTAATGACTACATGATATGACAAACAAAAATTAAGCTTTACTATGATTTTATAGAATTTGTGACTTCCATACAATAGTTGACCACGACTATTACTTAAGCGAGAGAATTGATTTTATAATAATGAACATATGGAGATTATTGGAAATATTAGCAGTAGAATTGGACGACGACTGGAATAAATATGTATAATGAATAAATGTGGAGGAGAGTGGAAATACAGGAAGACATTATGGAGTTCTTCGAACGTCTAAGGAGTTCCTAAGCATGGTTTTCACCGTTTTAAGTTTTGCGGCGAACAGTTACGAATTTGTTAGCGTTTAAGATAATGTAAGGAAATTAAGGAAGGAGATCCTACTAATGTTTATTTCTTTTTAAATTTTACTGAAGATGACCTGATAAGGATCGAAACGTATATATTTTGATGTAATAATTGATGAAAAAATTCGCAATAATAACTAGCGTTGGCTTTTATGCTTTTGTCATGTCTTATTGATTTTACATTATAATGTTGAGATTAGAAAATACGAAATTATCGTGTGAAAAGACGGAACACATCTGAGCACAAATGATAATTCGTCCTTTCACCCTAAAAACAAAGTAAAGAAAAATTGAAGAGAGAGAAACTCATTAGTCCATGAATAAACATTCATAATTCTTATTTAACAAGTGTGTCCGCCTCCATCGAGGCCGCGTCATTTGTTTCGTTTGCATGTTCAAACTTTCTATTTTTCTGAATATAAATCATTTCCCGAGATAAGTCTGATGTCTAACATATTTTCCTCATGAAGTACTTTTATATTATTCCAATCAAACTCATGCGAGTATTCTAATCTGTGTTCTGTAATTACTGAACGTTGTTGAGTATTCCACAATTCTTACAAAATATTTTGTATATTACATTTGTGTACAACATCTTTTGTAATTTGTTCTTTTGTACCTTAATAATACTATTTAGCTTATTAAAACCTTGATATGCTACTCTGATTGTATTATACTTTTTTAAATAATTCTTTATTTTATTAGAAATATTAGTCACAAATGGTATTGTAAAATAATTTTGTCTACTTTCTGTTTTATTAACATTGCTTTTATTAAGTGATTCTTTGTTTATTACTGAATTTTTTATGCAACCTTTTTCTTATTATACAGTGCCCGCCAAAAGTCCCGGGCCAGCTGAATATTTTGGAAAGTATGCATTTTTGCGAAAAATGTTTTAAACAAAAATTGTAGACTTTCAAAAAGATCTATTTACTGATGATATTACTTTGACCTTGAGTGGCGCTGCCAAAGTCAAATCAAGATCACATCGATTTTTTTAAATAGAACATCCAATCTTTCATTGTATATTCTTATAGCACCTCTTGAGAGCTTTCCAAAACACTATAATACAATATTTTTTTATGATTACTTATTGAATATAATTCTTGAAAGTTACAGTATCCCCGGGCATTAGCATGGCCCAAAGTGCCCAAACAATGGCTAAAACCTTTTGAATATTATTCAGAATTATGACGTAGATAATATTTTTACGTAGAGATGAAAATAAGCGGAACAACCTTTAACGGCCTTGATCTTAACAAATATTATCTAAGTACGCGCGCGCGCGCTTATCTTGGCTCATCTTTAATTGAATCGGTTTTTCAGAAACAGTTGATTTTGAAATTATACGATTAGGATAAGTAGCATTGAATAATTCGGCTACTTCTCGGTAAGATCTTATTGTGTCACCATATCACACATGAAATTCCATGTTTCACGTGCGTCTCGGCTCGGTATCACGCAAACAATTTTTTCATATTGTATGTCAGCCTCATACATGTACAAATATGAAACAGTAATGTTTTCTCAGAGTTAATGCTCCCTCAGAGAGCGATACATTACCTTATCTGCTTATCTCCTTTGTTTGCTTTAGTAATTATCATTCTAGTACATTTCTATTGTCAGAAAATGCTTTTAACCGAGACGGAAAGGGGAAACTATATTGATGATGAGAGGATATGGCGACAGAATAAGGTCCTATCGAGAAGTATAGCCGAATTATTCAATGCCACTTTTCTTGACCGTGATCCAATTTCAAAATCAATTGTTGAAAGAACTGTTGCTCGTTTCCAAAGAACAGGTTCAATTAAAGATGAGTCAAGATCCGGAAGACCCAAAAGCGCTACTAACGATGATAAAGCTATAGATGTTCTGCAAACTGTAAGCGATAATCCTTCTACATCGGTCTCGAGAGCGGCTCAAGAAAATGGTATTAGCGCAACATCAGTCCGTCGAATTTTGAGGAGGCATCATTATCATCCTTACAAAATGCATCTAGTCCAGCAGCTATCCGAAGACGATTATGACAGAAGAGTGGAATTTTGCGATAAGATGATGATAAAATTTGATGATAATAATCAGTTTTTTAACTGGATTTGTTTCTCTGATGAAGCAACATTTGAATTAAGCGGTTCTGTAAATCGACAGAATATGAGGTATTGGGCAGATGAAAATCCACATTGGATGAGAGAAAGCCACACGTAACATCCTCAGAAGATTAATGTTTGGGCCGGAATAATGCTTAATCGTATTATAGGACCGTTTTTCATTAAAGGTAACATAACTTCAGATAATTACTTGAATTTGCTAAGAAATCAAGTAATACCGGCTATTCAAGATATTGCTGAAGAAGCTTTCCACAATATTTGGTTCCAGCAGGATGGGGCTCCAGCTCATTTTTCTTTGACGGTTCGAAATTTTTTTAACGGTATTTTTACTGATCGATGGATTGGTAGAAGAGGCACAATAGAATGGCCACCGAGATCACCAGATCTGAGTCCATTAGACCTTTTTTACTAGGGATATTTAAAAAGCAAAGTCTATGAGATTAAGCCCATCGGCTATTCAAGATATTGCTGAAGAAGCTTTCCACAATGTTTGGTTCCAGCAGGATGGGGCTCCAGCTCATTTTTCTTTGACGGTTCGAAATTTTTTTAACGGTATTTTTACTGATCGATGGATTGGTAGAAGAGGCACAATAGAATGGCCACCGAGATCACCAGATCTGAGTCCATTAGACCTTTTTTACTAGGGATATTTAAAAAGTAAAGTCTATGAGATTAAGCCCGCAAACTTAGAAGAGTTGCGGCAAAGAATAGTGAACGTTTCAAATTCAATTACACCAGAATGCATAAGTAACGTTATCGATATGTTTTACGTACGCATAGGACACTGTCAAGTTGTACGAGGACATCAATTCGAACAGTTAATAAAATAGTGTTTTTATTCCTTCACATATACCATTGTTTCTCTCTCTCTCTCTCTCTCTCTCTCTCTCTCTCTCACACACACACACACGCGCGCGCGCGTAACTTTCAAGCATTATAATTCGAAAAGTGATCATGAAAAATATTGTATTATAGTGTTTTGGAAAGCTCTCAAGAGGTGCTATAAGAATATATAATGAAATATTGGATGTTCTATTTAAAAAAATCGATGTGATATCTTGATTTGACCTTGGCAACGCCACTCAAGGTCAAAGTAATAGCATCAGTAAATAGATCATTTGAAACTCTACAACTTTTGTTTAAAACATTTTTCGCAAAAATGCATACTTTCCAAAATATTCAGCTGGCCCGGGACTTTTGGCGGGCACTGTATAGTGGTGAAAATCAGATCCATTGGGTGACTATTTTGTAATGATATTTTTATGATCATTTCAAAATTTTTTTGAAACATAGGATGCGATAGATATAAAAACTTTATCAGTTAAATTGATAATTCCTCCTATTTTGTGTACCAAAGGATGTTGTGAAAAATAATTCAAATATCGTCCTGATGATGTTGGTTTTTGATACCAGTTAAATATAATTCTATCCCCACATTTTATCAATTTTACATTCAAAAAATTCATCTTATCAACACCCTCCTTCAATGTAAATTTGAGTTTAGGATGATAATTGTTAAACGTATTACAGAGTTCATCAATGTGATATTTATTAATTGTTAGCGCAACATCGTCAACGTATCTTACATACAAAGTAGGATGCAAAATCAACTTATTTAAACAATTGTGTTCTAAGTCCTGTAAAACTATGTCAGCTATAATTGGTGATAAGGGAGAACCCATCGGTACACCAAAAGTTTGTTTATAATATCTGTCATTAAAAGTAAAAAATGTTGAGTCAAGCACTAATTGTATGGCATTTATGAATTCTGTTTTGGTTTTAATTCCTCTGAATTTTATGCCATCTATTATTAATTCCCTTTGATACTAAATCAATTGGAACCTTCGTGAACAGATGATGAACACATTGGACTTTGTTGCTTTTTCCCCAGAATGTTTCCGACGAATATAGCCTTTTCCCTCGATGGTGGTGAACTTGACAGTCTTGGTGATAAGGGACGGTATCCCCTTCGCTTGATCGATTTTCAACGAATATATTTTTTTATTCTGTCCATGTATTAACGCTCGTAACTGAAGCTTACGAATGAGTGAAAGAAAAAGCCTTATACACTGCCTATATACACTGTCAGATCGGACATGTCACGACACGTTTAAGAGAAGCATCGATGTTTCGGATACATACATACGTACATACGTAAATACGTTTATACATACATTCATACGTACACACGTTCAGACATACGTTCATTATACATACATACATACATACATACACATATACAGGTTAGTTAAGTATGTTGCCATACTCAACAGAGTGATTCTTTGGTTTATTTCAAGTAAAAAAGTCCATATAACATGTATCCTAAACGGCTTAGTTTTCGAAATAAAAAAATTTAAACATGTAGTAATAATCTGTTTATTTGAAAAAAATATAACTTGAACTAGTCAAAAACTAGTCAAAAACAAAAACAGGCTTTAGTTCTTCTGATGAAATAAAAAAATTAGATGAATTGTTGAAAATGTCCTTGCGTCATAATACATCCATCGAGCCTTCTTCTCAAAGATTGACGTACACGCTCAAAGATGACCAGGTGTGTTACGTATTGCTTAGCATGAAGCAACTATTCGATTCCTCAAATCATTCTCATTCTCAATTGGGGTAGTATAAACCAATGATTTCAGATGCCCCCAAAGGAAATAATCCAAAGGATTTAAGTCTGGTAATTTAGGAGCCTTTGACTTTGACTTTGTCACTTTGTTTACGGTTGTGCGAATGGTAACTCACGTGAAGCAATGCATATTTATGTAGGAAGATATCGCCAACGCAATTTACCGTTTCGTCAAACATTTGCGAACATTCACCTATTTCGGAAACTAAGCCGTTTAGGACACATGTTTATATGGACTTTTTTACTTGAAATAAACCAAAAAATCTCTCTGTTGAGTATGGCAACATACTTAACTAACACCCAGTATATACATACGTTCATAAATACGTACATACATATGTTCATACATACGTTCATATATACGTTCTGTGACGTGACAATTTTTGTCCGTCACTTTCGCGGAGTGTCTGCGGGTATCGTGTGTCCTCCCGGCTCGGAGGGCGAGCGCACAAGCGAGCATTCAAGCGAGCGCGCATGCGAGCGTATATACAAGCGTGCGCTATTTATTCGTTTATCTAATTCCATTCTATTTCTTTTGTTCAGAACGTATTTCTTTTCTTAGTTAGTTGCGCATTTAGATTTAGAATCAGCGAACCATGCTCGAGATATTGTTATGTGATCTCGTCGTCTCACACACTACTGGAAGAAGAACGACCGCCATGCCAAGAAGGACAAAGGTGTTACGCCGGATTTGGAGGATCTCGCCAGGGAGCTCAGACACGCAGGTCGTAGAATTTCATATATTTTTTATTATCCGCTGCCGCCCTATACTTCGTTACATAGCGCACCAATTATAGAATGGAACGAGCGAAGGCGAAAACTCTCGCCAGAGGAACTTTACAGATGCCAGTCGGGGTATATGTCCCCGACGCGGAGCCGGTGGAGTAGCCGACAGGATATCCCGGGCAAGCCCGAATAACTTAGGGGCTACCGTCGAAGCCGGAATTATGACGATTTATATTGCACGCCAGGGTTTGCGGCCAGCAAGGACCGATCCGATAAGCGGAGCTGCGTGATCGACGGGAGCCAATCAGCGCATGACATGGCCCCAATTAGGAGGGGCCGAACGGCCTGCGTGAATTCGCGAGGAGCTCCTGGTATTCACCCGTTCTGTGTCCGAGCTAGGAGTATTGTACGAGGACGTATCCCCACAGCAATTATGGAGAGCATCAACTCTTGTCGGATTGCGATTGTCGTCGAGGATACCGAAGAGCGTCAGGACCTTGGGGTGAAACGAGCGCTACCACCAGTGTAAAGTTGCCGAGCATTGGGTTCGTAGCTTCGGATGGGTCGCGCGTGAAGTTCGCCATTCGCGTGGCGGAAAGCGACCAGGTTAATGGCCGCTACCTGAATTCGTGAAATTGCGAGACACGTGCCATCCGCCCAAGCCTTGCCGTTAAGAGAATTATTCGCTGCCGATTCGCGCTCATCTCTCTTGCCACAGTCGAGTTAAGTCTTATTTATCATTTTGTCTTGTATCTGTTATGTCGTGTCGATCCGATTACAGTGAATTGTATCGCGTGCGTGGATTATCGTTCGGGTTCGAAGTTACCCTCGCGGATGACGCTAGGAATACGAGTTCTTATACACTGTCAACGTGTTTCATGAACCTTCCGTTATCGTAAGTTAGCCACCTCTTAAGGTGACCGTTCAGAGAAGTAAGATTCCGATTGTATGACATACGACTGTCGATCCGGCTTTAAAAATAAATCATCGTCTGAATCCGTGGAATTAGATCTTATTAAATCCGGCTCACAGAGCGAAGCTCTAGAAATTGATTGAGAAATGGTTCCTTAAATATAATTGTTACTTTTCCTACTATGAATCTGTGTATAATTTTTACAGCCTATTTCTCTCGCCCTTCGACAATTTCCCCTCCTTCGACGAACGACACTTGTTGACGTCGCGAATTAATTGAGAGCTACTAATTTCGCGTAGATTAAGAATCATCGAAAGAGGGGTAAAAATTTTTAAATGTCGCATACCATGGAGTTTCTTGACAAAATCAGAAAAGTATTGCGCTTCCTGGCTGAGTGCTTATCACCATGGAATGCAATGGGAAGACGGGATGATCCCGTACAACATGGTGAAACGCCTGATTACAATGGCTGTAATTGGTGCCGAAGAGACTGACGACAATAAGACTCTCGTATACGTTAAAGGACATGAAAAACGCGAATGGCTGACCGATGTACTCGATAGCGACAACTTGATCATTGAGACCTTGGATGTTGATTACAAAGATATGGATTCTTTACATAATCTAGATGTTACCAATGCTATGCGATATGTAAAACATATTAACAATTGTGCGTTACAAAATGTATTTAAAATATACAACTGGTGGTCGCA